GACGGAGTTATATATATGTATATATATATATATACAAACATGGAATGGGTTAATTGCAATACAGAATTCGCGTAATTACTAAATGAACTAAGAACAACGTAAATTACAATAGGGCTCAATTTCTGTTGGATTGAATACCAAGTACAGTAATTCCTTACTATGGTTCCAAGTCCAATTGTTCCTGGATAATAGGAGTTTATTGACTCTCAACTTTAATGCAGTCACATCGTCTTAACAGGCAATTTACGCCATATAAGCATCATTTTGGTTGATCCAAGTCATTTAGGTTGTCCTCTGGGTCCTCATAAGATATAAACAGAATATCTAATTGACTCCTTTTGATCCCTTCTCGTCGTCTCCACTTTGTTTCTCCTTGTTGCTGATTTCTCTGTTGTTTCTGTGTTCCGGTCAGCTCTGATGTTGATGTCTGATTCTAGACTGATATCAGAACCCATTCATCTAGTTGACCGCTTGATTTCTTCTCCGTCTTGGGTTTCCATGAACTTATTCCGTGTTTCCATATCTATATCATCATCTTCCAGATAGATAGGGGTGCTTCTACCCCTACATTAGTGCTGGGGTTTCTCCTTCTCTTCCCTTTTTCCCTTTGCTATTCACCCATCCTTCTTTTTTTCCTTTTTTTTTTAAATTACTTTGTGAATTGTGTAATGTATTCGTTATTTGTTAATTTAAAAAGATAAAATGTAGTTATAAAATTTTGGAGGGCCAGCCAATCAAAACAACCAGAAACAACCTAAACTGAGATACAATGGGCTTGTAGTATTGAGGATTCCGACGCACTGTGTCTTGTTGTTTCTCTCTCATCCCAGCATAAGCCCTCTGAAACCTTTCTTGAATCACTTCAGTACAGTCTGATAACTCCATTTTCTATCAGCTTTAGGTACAGGATTTATCCAATTAGCCAGAATTTAAACTTCCCTCCCAAACATGGCAATATTTACTATTGCGTGATTTTTGTGATGTCATATTTATGTCGTTTACTAACATATATTTCAAATTTCTCGGAAGAGATAAAAAAGAGAGAAATAGTGAAATAAAGTTTCAAAATTCTAAGATAATGTTCTTACTTTTTGTCTGTGTACAAAGTAATACAGCTGGTGCATTGGGTATTTGTAAACCAAATTTAAATCTTTTAAAAAACTATTTAAAACAAAATTTCAATCAAAAACCTCGGCCTGGGTTTAATAGTAGACGTTATTTAGGTGTTAAAATGTGCCCATAAGTTTATATGCATAGGACAAAAAAAGTATAATTGTCTTGGTGAGGTAATTCGGAAGCCAAAGCCAATGTGATGTTTTAAAATCGAGACTGTCTAAAAATTTGATAAATAATAATAAATATAGTGTCTAGATTTCAGAGGTGAAAGCCTTTATCTGTGCACGCTGCAAATATAGGGTGCATCTTAGTAACAATTTTGTATCGTGGTTCTGGGCCCACGGGGATGCAAAAAGGCATCCACAGCACAAGAGTGTTCTTCATCCTCACCAGGGTGAAGGTATTCAGGGACACACCTCGCGGCTACATCATGAACTCATGCACTCACTTGACAGAGCACGGGCCGAGAAGGTCGTGCTGCAGAAGGCCATTTTTTGGATTAACCCTATTCCCGCTGGGGGGGGGTCAATTTGACCCCCCCCTGTAGTTTTTTCTACATAACTCAAAAAGTATTGGTCTGAGGCTGTTGAAATTTTCTGACTTTTCTTACATACCCAAAGCCCTCCCTTTAGGCCTAAAACCGGGCTTTAATACTAACTGCCTGAGTCCTCAGGCACACTGCCTGAATGACTGCTTTTGCCTGTAGCAAACTAAATCTTTGTTTTGACCCACTTTCACTTGTCAGATTTTGATAAAATTTAGCTTTTTGGAAAGCCTATGAC